GGTCTCAGAAGTCAATACATTCCCAATTGTACAATTTTTGCATTTGAGTTCTCAGATCAGCCATTTACATCCCCATTATGTCTGATAACCTATTCGTACACATCAATATGGGGTTTGTGTGCCACTGCACAAGCAGAGGTAGACATACAAATACATCAACAAAACTATGGACAGAATTACAGCTCTCTCTTTTTGAAAAACATGCCTGTATAGTGTGATTAAATATATAATGATATATAAATGATAAATTATATGCAACTTGAAAACTGCCATTGGTCCCTTGGTCTAGTAGTGTCTTTTTTGGCACTTGTCCATGACTTAGTTTAGCAGACATCAGACTTCAGAACAGAATTATTTTCACTTTATAATTAATCACAAATCTCCTTCTCCACTTCTTTTCCTTAAAGTGTAACAAGGAAAAGCAAAGTAACATATGGCATTGTTGGTGAAAGGTGGCAGTAAAAATACTGGTGCTCTGATACAGGGGGAATTTAATTTGTCTAGACTCTCAGGCTACGTCTAGACTGGCATGATTTTCCACAAATGCTTTTAACGGAAAAGTTTTCCGTTAAAAGCATTTGCGGAAAAGAGCGTCTATATTTTTCTTCCGCAAAAAGCACTTTTTGCGGAAAAGCGTCCGTGCCAATCTAGACGCACTTTTCCGCAAAAATGCCCCCATAGCCATTTTCGCAATCGGGGCTTTTTTGCGCAAAACATATCTGAGCTGTCTACACTGGCCTTTTTGCGCAAAAGCTTTGCACAAAAGGGACTTTTGCCCGAATGGAAACAGCATAGTATTTCCGCAAGAAGCACTGATTTCAGACAGTAGGAAGTCAGTGTTCTTGCGGAAATTCAAGTGGCCAGTGTAGACAGCCGGCAAGTTTTTCCGCAAAAGCAGCTGCTTCTGCATTTATCATGCCAGAGTGGGGAAGGAGCCATGACAGGCCGTATTTTGCCCAGGCCTGCACTACTGAAGAGCCCTTGGGGATCCAGAGTTTCTCACCATGAACAGACTGATATAGCGGAAGCCAGTCAGCTCTCAGCCTATTTATTGTTTGAAGCCAACCCCATATTGAAACTGAACTGAGCAGTGAAATCTGAGACTGACGGAACTGTCTCTGTGTGCTTTAACTTCACACCCCACAGTCCAGTGCTTCTCAAAGTGGTTTGCAGGTCCCCTAACCCTGGGCCTCCTCACTGATCAACTGATCAGTTGGTTAGATTTAGGGCTGTGAGTGCCGTGGTCACTGTGGGTTTGGCTGGTAACTTTAAATACAATCCCATGAAGATGTTTTAATGGGAATTTTCTTATCATTTAAAGACCATCTCCACCTGCGAACCCACCCTGTCTGAAAGCTCCCAGGGATTTTTCTCTTGCTCTCTCCAGTGCAGAGGGTGGAGTGTCTGGTGGGGGAAGGGATAAGAGAGGTGAGATTCCAGGCTCTCATATTTATAACAATTTCCTCACTCTGACCCTGCATTTCAATTATATCAGAAACCAGACAGAGACACTTAGCTGTTTAATATGAAAAAAATCTGAAACCTTCTATTTCCTCTCACTCAGGCATTTCCCAGCAATGGAACCAACATCCCTGCAGCCTCATACCCGTCCCAGGAGAGACAAGCTGTAAGTGAGATTTTCTTTTCCCTCCTCATCCCCTCCCATTTGGTTTCTCTCATTCACTTACTGCCACTTGTCATAACCTAGACCTGCACTCAGGGAAGATGTTGCCATGACAATAACTTTACCCATTTTGATCCCTTTGCTACAGGCCACCGAACCAGGTGGATGAGGTAGATGAGGCTTTCTTTGGACAACTGAGCGAAGCTTCCAGATCGCAGGCCCTGGTTCTCATGGGGGACTTTAATCACCCTGACATCTGTTGGGAAACCAATACGGCAGTACACAGGCAATCCAGGAAGTTTTTGGAGAATGTTGGGGATAACTTCTTGGTACAAGTGCTGAAGGATCCGACCAGGGGCCGTGCACAGCTTGACCTTCTCCTCACAAACAGGGAGGAACTAATAGGGGACGTAGAGGTGGGTGACAACCTGGGAAGCAGTGATCATGAGATGGTAGATTTCAGGATCCTGACCAAAGGAAGGAAAGAGAGTAGTAAAATACACACCTTGGACTTCAAAAAAGCAGATTTTGACTCCCTCAGAGATCTGATGGAAAGAATCCCCTGGGATGTTAACATGAAGGGGAAAGGAGTCCAGGACAGCTGGCAGTATTTTAAAGAAGCCTTATTGAAGGCACAGAAAGAAACCATCCCGACACGTAGCAAGAGAGGCAAACCTGGTAGGAGACCGGATTGGCTTACAGGGGAAATCCTTGGTGTACTTAAGCACAAAAAGGAAGCTTACAGAAAGTGGAAACTTGGACAAATGACTAGGGAGGAGCTTAAATGTATAGTTCGAGAATGCCGGGGGGTTATCAGGAAGGCGAAAGCGCAAATGGAGTTGCGACTGGCTAAGGATGTGAAGGATAACAAGAAAGGTTTCTACAGGCATGTCAACAAGAAGGTGATCAGAGAGGGTGTGCAGTCCCTAATGGATGAAGGAGGTAACCTAGTGACAGAGGATGTGGGGAAAGCTGAAGTACTCAATGCTTTCTTTGCCTCTGTATTCACGGACAAGGTCGGCTCCTGGACTTCTGTGCTAAGCGACGCAAGATGGGAAGAAGATGGACAGCCCTTGGTGGGTAAAGAACAGGTTAGGAACTATTTAGAAAAACTAAACGTACACAAATCCATGGGTCCAGACTTAATGCACCCAAGGGTACTGAAGGAGTTGGCAAATGTCATTGAGGAGCCTTTGGCCATTATCTTTGAAAAGTCGTGGAGATCGGGCGAAATCCCGGATGATTGGAAAAAGGCAAATGTAGTGCCCATCTTCAAAAAAGGGAAGAAGGATGATCCAGGGAACTATAGGCCAGTCAGTCTTACCTCGGTTCCTGGAAAAATCATGGAAGGGATCCTTAAGGAATCCATATTGAGGCACTTGGATGAGAGGAAAGTGATTAGGAATAGTCAGCATGGATTCACAAAGGGCAAGTCATGCCTGACCAATCTGATTAGCTTCTATGATGAGGTAACTGGCTCGGTGGACATGGGGAAGTTTATCCAGCCAGTTATGCACCCACCTTATAGTAGCCCCATCTAGGTTGTATTTCCTTAAGTAGTGCTTTTAATGAAAATATTGTGTGAGTTTTTTAAATGCTCCCTGTTAAAATTCCCACTGACTTTTGAGGAGAGGCTGAGGGACTTGGGTCTGTTTAGTCTGCAGAAGCGAAGAGTGAGGGGGGATTTGATAGCAATCTTCAACTTCCTGAAGGGAGGTTCCAAAGAGGATGGAGAGAAGCTGTTCTCAGTAGTGACATATGGCAGAACAAGGAGCAATGGTCTCAAGTTGTGGTGGGAGAGGTCCAGGTTGGATATTAGGAAAAACTATTTCACTAGGAGGGTGGTGAAGCACTGGAATGGGTTACCTAGGGAAGGAGTGGAGTCTCCATCCCTAGAGGTGTTTAAGTCTCGGCTTGACAAAGCCCTGGCCGGGTTGATTTAGTTGGAATTGGTCCTGCCTAGAGCAGGGGGCTGGATTTGATGACCTTCTGAGGTCTCTTCCAGTTCTATGATTCTATGCATCTACCACCTTCTGTGACAGCTTCCCAATGACACGAGAGCTGCTACTGTACAGGACCCCAGGACGACCTGCAGGGGGAACACATTGCCTGCCTATCTGCCATGTAGTGGTCTCTAGACTGGAAGGACCGGGGAAGTTGGACACCGACCTGGAGGAGTGCCATGCTGACAGGAACTGCTCTGCACCATCTGACAGGAGCTGTCTCAGGAGACTGGAATATGTGCATGGCATTCACCGTTGCTGCCGACCAACTGGTTGCTGCCATTGAGCAGTCCAACAGCCACACTCCTGCCCCCGTTCCCCTGTCTTCTCCCCCTAAGCCACGCCATGACTGTTGAGGGCCCCACACAAAGGGCAGTGGGACCACCTGAGGCAGGCGTCAGTCCCAACTCCATCCCTGAGCTTCTCCTCCCCCTCCCCGATTCTTTCCCCAGTCCCTCCCCAGTTATATTTACCCCAAATAAAAAACAGTTTATTCTTTCAAAACAAAAAGTCTGGTTTATTGTATCTGCAGGTGAGGGGGGAAGGACAGAGGAAGGGAGAAATAGGGGAGGAAAGGCACAGACGGGCAATGCAGAAGCCCCTTGTAGGGAGGTCCAGGAGAGAGTGTCACAGGTGTTCTTGTCAAAAGCGTTCCCTCAGGGCCTACCAGATGCACAGAGCCCCCTGATGGGTCTGCTGTTGAATTGTTCCTTGGTGGGGTCCAGGTGTCCTGTATAGGGCTTCATTAGCCAGGGGAGCAAAGTGTAGGCTGAGTCCTCCATGATGTAGTTGGGGAAAAATGCGCTGGCGAGCATCCTCTGGAACAGGCTGGAGTTCCTGAAGATGCAGGCTTCGTGCACATTGCCTGACCACCCAATGTTAACGTCGGTGACGAAGCCTCGGTGGTCCACAAAGGCCTGCAGCACCACTGAAAAGTACCCCTTGTGGTTGATGTAATCAGAGGCCCAGTGGTTGGGGGCCCAGATGAGGATGTGTGTGCCATCAAGGGGCCCCTCTACAGTTGGGGAAGCTAATGGTGGCAAAGCCAGCAACAATGGGGTCCATGTTTCCCAGTATGACAATCCTGCACAGCAGGATGGCATTAGTGGCCCTCACCACCTGTGAGAGGATTCAGAGAATCACTGCTTTGCCAGAGCCCTCGGGAGTCCCCCGAGCCAATCCCTTTCCCACAGCAGGAGCAACCTCAACTTACTCCATCCCCAGCAGCGCTTTGCAAAGTCAGGACTGAAAAACCTCCAGGGAGGGAGAGTCCACCCCTCTCTTTCCTAGGGAACCCCATTCCTGTGGTTAATCACCAGCCTGGGAAAATAGCATGAGAGCACCAAACCTGCATGAGCACGGCCCCAATGGGCGATCCCCCACCCGAACTGGTTCCCACAGATCGGTAGCTATCCAGTGTGGTGAGCTTTCAAACAGTGATGGTGACATGCTTCTGGAGGGGGATGGCAGGTCACGTGGGTGTTCCATTGCCTGGGGGCAGGGGTGAGCCATTCGCAGAGCTCTAGAAAGGTGTCCTTCTGCATGCGGAAGTTCTGGAGCCACTGCCGGTCATCCCGCCACTCCATGACGATCTGGTCCCACCAGTTGGTACTGGTGTCCTGTCACCAGAAATGACGGTGCACAGTGTGCAGAGGAGGGTAGGAGGGCTTATGCTGCGTGAGCAACTCATGGAGAGAGGTGAGGTGCCCCACAGGGAACTGTGGTTCCTGTTCCTGCAGTGCCACGTGGGCAGTCTGCAGTAGGGCAGGGGTGAGCCATTCGCAGAGCTCTAGAAAGGTGTCCTTCTGCATGCGGAAGTTCTGGAGCCACTGCCGGTCATCCCGCCACTCCATGACGATCTGGTCCCACCAGTTGGTACTGGTGTCCTGTCACCAGAAATGACGGTGCACAGTGTGCAGAGGAGGGTAGGAGGGCTTATGCTGCGTGAGCAACTCATGGAGAGAGGTGAGGTGCCCCACAGGGAACTGTGGTTCCTGTTCCTGCAGTGCCACGTGGGCAGTCTGCAGTAACTGCACCAGGACATGCAGCAGCAGGTCTAAGAGCCAGCAAGTGCTTTGCAGCAGATGTGCTGTCATGTCCACAAGGGCAAGCAGAGCAGGTAGTGAGATGAGCTCAAGGATGCAGGCAAAGGCGAAGAGTTTGAGACACAGCTATAGAGGGGGGATGAGCCTCAGATAGCCTCAGACAGCAGCTCCAGGAAGTGATTGCTGTCCTGATGCCCTGCCCAGAGTGCTTCCAGAGGGCTTTAAGTGCAATTCAGGCTCCAATCATTGTAGATGCGGTATTTTTATACAGATCTGCGCTATTTCAGTGGGCATTTGTAGTGTGTTCACACTACTTTGAAATAGCTATTTCAGGAGTTTTTATCCCAAAATAGCTTATTTCGAAATAAGCACGTCCTGTAGACATACCTAAATGTAAAATATCAAGGAACAGATTTTGTATATCCAGAGACTGTGCAGGACTATGTCTTTCCAGTTTTCTGGGCAACCAACACAATTAAATGCTACTTTGGATTCATACCCAGGACACAAAAGCATGTTTGATGAATCAGATAAAAGATAACTAATAGGGAACCAGGGAACCTAGCAAAATAGTCTCGAAGCCTTGGAAAACTGTTCACAGAAACAGCTTGATCTTTAGAAAGGCTGAACAGGAGACACCTTAATACAGAAGGGGAGCAGAAGAGAATCAGATTCCACATCATTCATTCCACTTGGCAAATCCCCCTGATGCGAATGTGATTGGGTTTTCCATTAGACTAATAAAGGGCATCATAACTGTTGCCTTCAAGGGGGAAATATTTTGAAGAGAATGAGGAGCAGATGAATTAAGTTATAAAGTGCCAATGCCTTAGGGGACCTTCTGCTCTTTAACAAGAACTACAGTGGGTAAAGTAGCAATATCATACAGCACATTTCCTGCACAATATGTGACCGCCCACTCCTTTCTTATGCGACCCACCATGACACTGACTGACTGCAAACACCAGTGCAGTTGGAAGCATAACCAGGCTTCATCTTTCAAGCCCTAATACTCAAAAGCTTCTCATCCACTGTAATCCCCAGTTCCTTTTCTGCAGAACTTCTGCTTAGCCAATCGGTCCCCAACCTATAGCAGTGCTCGAGATTTTTCCATCTAAAGTGCAGGACTCTGCACTTGTCCTCATTGAACTTCATCAGATTTCTTTTGGCCCAATCCTCCAGTTTGTCCAGTTCACGCTGAACCCTACCTCTACCCTCTAGGGTGTCTCTCTCTACTCCTAGCTTAGTGTCATCTGTAAACTTGCTGAGGGTGCAATCCATCCCGAACAAAACCGGCTCCAGAGCTGACTCTTGGAGTATTTCACTCGATATTAACCAACCTATGAAGAACAATGGGGAAAGGCTTTTCTGAACCACAAAGTTAAGTTTGAGTTTTGGGACCAAGGGGTAGAAATACCCTAAAAGTGTGGCAGGACACAAGCCAAACCATGGCCCTGCTCTTGTGCCACTCCCTGAGGCCCTGATTCCACCGTTCCTTCTCCCTAAACACACCCTGTCTTTCCCCTGAGGCCTGCTCCCATGCCACCTCTTCCCCCAAACACTCTGCTCTTGCATGCTCCTCTTCCCCTCCACTGCTTAGGCTCTGACACATCCGATGCTTCTCCCAATATTCATCCTTATGGCCGGTATAAAGTGCCCTCCCACTTTAAAAAAGTGTGTGTGAAGGAGCCTGGCCTTTCTGGCACTCTTGGTTTTAAGCGAACATTTACTCTGGATTATACTTACATTTGTTCAACCATTCCTATCGAGTTTTCCTTCTGCTCACAACTTTTCTGTCTATCTTGAATAGCAGCTGGAGATACCCGAAGCTCCTTTGATCTGTGAATAAGGGCTATTAGACAGAGCTTAATTATTTCTACCTACCTGTGCAGCATCCATTTCATTCAACATCACTATGGAGGAGCAGTTGTAATCAAACACGAGCCTCCAGAAATCTGGTACAGTGTTGGGTAAAGGGTGCTGGGTAACAATAAAGGCAGCAGGTTGCTTGTGGCTCTAAGAAAAGAATACAATTAGTTAAAAAATCCACTTTTATTCAGATGATTATTAAACCCAGGAGTTGAAGGCTATACAATCTGAGCCATTTAACTAGATTATACAAATCACACATTCTCTTCCTTGTTATCACTGTGCAATGAATGAAGGTCTCATAATAGGACCCTTTTGCTCCCAATGAACACATTTCATTAGAGAAGTGTCACAAGAAAAGAAATTATCCAAATAAATTATTTATATTTCAGGAGTCTGCAAGCAATAACAATATTAATTAAAATGAAGAAAGAAAATTGCTGGTAACAGAATTTTTCTTTTTTTTTTAAATCTTGTTGCAGTAGATGCTAGAGACCAGTCTGTGTGCTATCCCTCATGCTGATTGTGTTTCGCAGGAGAAGAGAACTAAAGAGTTGAACCATTCAGCTTTGAGAGCAGCCTCTTAGGGCTGGAACGGGGAGGCAGTGTTCAGAGTTCTGGCCCCTGGAGCGCTCTTCCCGATTCTACTCTGACATCTGTACAAGTCATAAGAACATAAGAATGGCCATATTGGGTCAGACCAAAGGTCCATCTAGCCCAGTATCCTGTGAGGCGAGGGACACCATTCCGTACCCATCCTGGCTAATAGCCATTAATGGACTTAACCTCCATGAATTTATCCAGTTCTCTTTTAAACCCTGTTAATGTCCTAGCCTTCACAACCTCCTCAGGCAAGGAGTTCCACAGGTTGACTGTGCGCTGTGTGAAGAACTTCCTTTTATTTATTTTAAACCTGCTGCCCATTAATTTAGTGGCCTCTTGTTCTTATATTATGGGAACAAGAAAATATGGGTATGTCTCCACTTCCCCGCTAGTTCGAACTAGCGGGGTAGTGTAGACATACCCTTATTTACTTGTTCCCATAATATAAGAACAAGAGGCCACTAAATTAATGGGCAGCAGGTTTAAAATAAATAAAAGGAAGTTCTTCACACAGCGCACAGTCAACCTGTGGAACTCCTTGCCTGAGGAGGTTGTGAAGGCTAGGACATTAACAGGGTTTAAAAGAGAACTGGATAAATTCATGGAGGTTAAGTCCATTAATGGCTATTAGCCAGGATGGGTACGGAATGGTGTCCCTCGCCTCACAGGATACTGGGCTAGATGGACCTTTGGTCTGACCCAATATGGCCATTCTTATGTTCTTATGACTTTTAACAGTGTCAGAGTAGAATCGGGAAGAGCGCTCCAGGGGCCAGAACTCTGAACACTGCCTCCCCGTTCCAGCCCTAAGAGGCTGCTCTCAAAGCTGAATGGTTCAACTCTTTAGTTCTCTTCTCCTGCGAAACACAATCAGCATGAGGGATAGCACACAGACTGGTCTCTAGCATCTACTGCAACAAGATTTAAAAAAAAAAGAAAAATTCTGTTACCTCAACGTGGACATGCTAGTTCGAATTAGCAAAATGCTAATTCAAACTAGTTTTTAGGTCTAGATGCACTAATTCGAATTAGCTTAGTTCGAATTAACTAATTTGAATTAAGTTAGTTCAAATTAGTGCTGTAGTGTAGACATACCCATAGGGCTCATCTACACTGGCCCCTTTTCCGGAAGGGGCATGTTAATTTCACCTATCGTAGTAGGGAAATCCACGGGGGATTTAAATATCCCCCGCGGCATTTAAATAAAAATGTCCGCCGCTTTTTTCTGGCTTTTAAAAAAGCCGGAAAAGAGCGTCTACACTGGCCCCGATCCTCCGGAAAAAGCGCCCTTTTCCGGAGGCTCTTATTCCTACTTCAAAGTAAGATGGATAGAAAGCTGGCTAGACTGTTGGGCCCAATGGGTAGTGGCTCAATGTCAGGTTGGTGGTGGGTTTCTAGCAGAGTGCCTCAAGGATCAGTTCTAGGACTGGTTTTGTTCAACATCTTTATTAATGACTTGAATGAGGAGATGGATTGCATTCTCAACAAGTTTGCAAATATTACTAAGCTAGGGGGAGAGGTAGATATGCTGGAGGGTAGGAATAGGGTTCAGAGTGACCTAGAGAGATTAAAGGATTGAGCTAAAAGAAATCTGATGAGGTTCAAGAAGGACAAGTGTAGAGTCCTGCACTTGGGATGGAAGAATCCCAAACATTGTTACAGGCTGGGGACCGACTGGCTAAGTAGCAGTTCAGCAGAAAAGGCCCTGGGGATTACAGTGGATAAGAAGCTGGATATGAGTCAACAGTGTTCTCTTGTAGCCAAGAAGGCTAATGGCATATTAGGTTGCATTAGGAGGAGCATTGCCAGAAGATCTAGAGAAGTGATTATTCCCCTTTATTCGTCTCTGGTGAGGCCACATCTGGAGTAGTGTGTCCAGTTCTGGTCCCCCCACTACAGAAAGGATGTGAACACATTGGAGAGAGTCCAGTGGAGGGCAACCAAAATGATTTGGAGGCTGGAGCATATAATCTATGAGGAGAGCCTGGGGAGTTTTGGGTTTGTTTAGTCTGCAGAAGAGAAGAGTGAGGGGGGATTTGATAGCAGCCTTCAACTTCCTGAAGGGAGGTTTAAATATACCTTGCCACTATAGGCGCTGGTTACAAAACTTTCCCCAGAATTACAATACACAGATTTTAGGGGGAAGGTCACTACCACCATCAAGTGATTTTTATCCCTAAAATTGGGGGTGAACACTTCAACCCACCCCCAAAAAAGAGCTTGTAAAAAGAAAAGAAAGAGAGAGAGAGCGTGAGCGAGAGAGAGAAACAAGCTGCAGTCTCTACTAGCTGACCTCTCAGTCTTGGGCATGGAGACACACACAGATAGGCAGACCACCTGTACTTTCCAGGACATGAGAATCAAATAATAAAGTGATTTTTATTACAAAACAAAAGATATTCCTGATAAAGCATACTTGGTTGCTACATGTTACAGAGCAATTAAGGAAAACAAATGAAAAACACAGAGAAAATCTCTGGGAATAATGCTTAGATGGTAAATGGGGAGAGGAGGTATAGATTCACACAGAGCAGTTCAAACCAAATGGCAAAATAAAGAAAAATACCCTGATCATGACTAGATTCACTTTATTTACAGTACTCACAATCTTCTCTTTGTTCAGTCCACTTCCATGCCTCAAATTCCTTGGAGGCATGGTAGTCCTCCTCCTCCTCCTCAACAACCATGGGCTCAATGCCCATTGGTGTCCGATGCCTCCCTCACTATTTCCTTCCATCTTTCCCTGTCCAGTGCGGAGTGGCTTAGTTTCTGTAGACTAGCTCCACACCGATCTACTATATCATCTACCCATTCTCTGTGGAGACTGCCTCTCCTATTCCATTATGCCAAATACCAGGGTCTTACATTTTCACTCGTTGTTCATTCTACAGACATGCCCGAATAGCTGTAACTTCCACTGTATAACCTTCTGCAGTAGGTTCTCTTTCAGCTGTATCTTCTTATATAATTCCTTATTGGTGACCTGCATCCATCCTATTCTCAGGATCTTTCTATAAATGACTCCTCTTGAACGCCAATATCCTTCTCTTTGAATCTTTCATTATCACCCATGTCTCACATACATACAAAATGCTGCTAAATACATACATTTTCAAGACGCTCAGCTTCGTTCCTAGGCTAATCACTTTTCTTTTCCAGATCTTATCCATCACCTTCAAACTCACTCTTGCTTTCGCTATTCTAGTTGCTATTTCCTTCTTATAGTCTAGATTATATGTCATGTTGCTCCCCAAATACGTGAACTTCTCTACGTTCTCTAGTTTGATCCCATCTACATTGATCTTCCTTCCTATTTCCTTATCTCCAAATACCATTGTCTTCATTTTATCAATATTGATAATCAGTCCATACTGCTTCCCTTCCTCATTTAGCATCTGCACTGTTCTCGCCACTTTCTCTACATCTTCCTCGATGATAACTCTATCATCCGCGACCCTCAAGTTATTAATTCCCATTCCATGCACCAATATCCCTTCTACTTCTTCCTTGAACTTGTCCATCGCTATCTCTAGGTGTGTGATGAAGATGCTCAGCAATATCGGATCTCTTTGTCTTGTACCTCTACTTGTTCCCAACTCTCCACATGTTCTCACCACTGCCTCCGCATTATCGTTGATATCCTTCAACAACTATATCAGTCTCCTATCCACTCTGTATGACTCCAACACTGCCCAAGTCACTTCTGATCTATACTGTCAAATGCCTTCTGAAAATTGATGAAGCAATAGTAGATATTCTTGTTCTTTTGCCGAGCTTTCTCCACTATCAATTTTAGTGCCAATATCTGCTGTATGGTACTTCTGTCTTTCCTGAATCCCGCTTGCTCATCCGCTAGATGTTCTTCTATCTCAATCTCTCTGTCAGTATTATCATCAGCATCTTGCCTAGGTGACTTGTCAAGGCAATCATTCTGTAGTTCTGGAATGCCAACGTGTTTCATTCTGTGTGTCTCAAGTCCAGGTTTAACTCTCCCACACAAAGAAAGCAGGAAAGGTACCGTATATAATTCAAATTCTAGCACTCTGTTTTGATTGGTTCTCCCAGCTGCCTAGCCAGCCTAGCCAACACCTCTGCTAGCTACCTACTTTGTCACTGGGTGCTGGTTAGCACACCTCCTATCCAGTACACCATTATTCCAATTCTTTGATTATTCTTCTCTCCCATTTGGAGGAAAGTTGCTTTGAACTGGTGATAATGCACTGAGCACACGGGAACTCGGGAGGAAATATAACAATGGAGGCACTTGCAACGAACACATGTGGGAACTGACTGATGAGAGAAGTAAAAAAGAGAAGTATCACGTGAGATCACATGACCTGTGGACCCTGCCTCAGAGCAAGGCAGGCAGTCTGTCAAGCTTCACAATCACTGCAAAGCTCGAGGGATTCACATAAAGCAGGGGTGTCCAAACTTTTTTCAAAGAGGGCCAGATTTGATGAAGTGAACATGCATGAGGGCCGACCATTTTGCCTGACATTCTTTGAACCATTAAAATTAAATGCAAATTAACTATTTTATGCAAAGGTTATTGCAAACGGCATACTTTTCATTTTGTCACATGGATGACAAATCTAAACAGGTGTTAAATCACTCTGCCTTTCATATCTGAAGGCCAGATGAAAAAAAAAATCCAGGAAGCTGAAATATATGTCAGGAACATTGTAAAGTACATTAAATATTATTGGTAATAAAGGTTGTCTGTCAACTTTTAAGTTCAAAAAATATGAACAGGAACATAACACCAAGTATACATGTTGTGTCCAAATATATTTATAACTGATTTAGACCAACTGACATTAACTGAGATTTTACAATGTATTCATCTCAATACATATGGATTCGTTGGGGGCCATAAAAGATAGATATTGCCAAGTTACCTGGGGGGGCCGTATTAAACCGGAACACGGGCCGCAATTGGCCCGCGGGCCGGACTTTGGACATGCCTGACATAGGAAGATGGAATGGATTGGCTATTCTGAGTGTGATGCTAGCACACCAGATGCCAGCTTTTTCTGAACAGTAGCAAATTCATTGCTGGACAGCCATCTATTTCACCTGTCTGATGGTATGGTTAATATAGGGATTAGACTGTGTTTAGACTTTATGAAAAGCTGATAAATTGCTGAATGTACTTATCTCACCGATAATCTCTTTATCCCATGCTATAAGATTTAAGTTTTTGCCTCACAACTATAAACAATGTGTACACTGAAACTGTCAGCCTATCAGGAGAGACCATCTCCTGCTCATTAAGAGGGCTATTAAAACTAAATGGGCCATTATAGGACATCACAATGCAAAGACTATGTAGGTGGCATCATCCCTTCATACCCACAAAGATGCCACCTGCAAAAGGGTGACATCAGGGTGAATTTTGGGATAAAGAAATTAAAGGGGAAGAAGGAAATTTAAAACTGGTGAACAAGAACTTTTTTTTATTTTATGTGGCTGTTTGGACTATGATAGAACAACTTCAGACAGTGCGAAACTAGGATCTATGATGTGTTCATCACTCTGAACAATAAGCTAGTTGCAAAAAAGGAATCCGACTCCAAGGGTTCATTTTCCCCAGGAAAAGCATTAGGAATTCTGGGGCTATGTCTACACTACACGTTTTTGCTGCAGAAAATACACTAATAAGGGACTCATTAGGATGAGTTGCGATGTTATTAGCATATTTTCTGCCAATTCTTTTTGTGCAAGGAGTTTTTGTGCAAAAAGAAGCGGTGTAGCCACTTCCATTTTGCACAAAACTCCCCTTTTGTGCAAGATCCTTATGCCGCTCCAGGAGGGGAACTTGTGCATAATGGGGTTTTTGCGCAAAAAGCAGAGTAGCCACTTCCATTTTGCTCAAAAACCCCTTGCGCAAAAAGAAACAGCAGAAAATATGCTAATGATATTGCAACTCATGCTGTTGAGTCCCTCATTAGCATAGTTTTTGCTGCAAAAACTCGCCGTGTAGAAAAAGCCTGGATGTTTCAGGCTGTGTATTTCCCAAGACCACTGACTTGTTCTCTTTGTAAAATGGTAAATAAAGAAGGGCAAAAACATCAGATGAATGGATTAACTTCAATGGCAGATGAAGCCATTTGTTGATATGAAACAATGAATTAGCATAAAAGGTGCTATAGACATGCAAGATGATGTTATGTTTTAGGTGTTGGTTTAGGCGGGAGTCCAGACAACTGGAAACTAGAGAAAAACCCATTGTGGTTTTGCAGATTTGCCAAAGTACAAAACAAAACACAATCTCTTATAATAATTAAAGACAGCAAATATGCAAGGAAAATGTCACACATTGTGGGAAAAATAGTGAAATTCTGCCAGGAACTAATTATCTAATTAACTCTTGGAAAGACAGGAGCAACATTATACAAAGCAAAAAAAAAACCTCCCTTCCCCCAACTAACTCCCTATGTTGTTTGGAAGAAATGATAACTCATCACCTTATGTCAGATTTACAAATACTCTGATAGCAATATCCTTTCCAGAGACCTCTGCCCAAAGGCCTCTGGGTAACTTAGCAAATGGGAAACATCACCATCATTTAGAATAAAAAACTGGCCTGTCCAACTAATTTCTACTGTGAAAACAAACGTTGTGCATGTGTGTGTGTGTGAGAGAGAAACAGACCAGATTTCATTTCAACACAACACATGCTTAGGCTCTGAAATGTTGTGTACATCTGACACCCTTCTCAACATTCTGAAATCTGTAGGCTCCGATCAAAGGGCTGTTGGACTCCTGTTTCATTGCAACCTTCCTTCCCTTCCCATCTATCTATCTCTTCATGATAGACTTTTCTTCCATGCACCCAGTTTTTTCTTCCATGAACCCAGACTTTTCTTCCATGCACCTATGGTCATCAAAGATCTCTGCCAATAAAGGAAAGATAGCAACCCAGTCTTACAAACTATTAAAGGATATAAAATATTTTCAGAACATCACTGATGCTCTTTTGCACATGTATGAACAGCACAGGCCCCTGATTCCTCTGGGTCCCAGAGGTGCTCGGCTTCCTTGTCCAGCCATCTCCTTTCCCCACATCTGCTCCCATTCCCTACCTCTTTCCATCCCAGTGCCACTCCACTCCTTCTCCCAAGCCTCCATCTCTGCCCTGACTCTTTTTACCCTCACTTTACCTCTTCCCACTCATTTCTGATACCTCCCTGGAGCATGCCCCATCCGTGCACCTTCTCCTCCCAGCACCTCCTGCACGCTGCATTGCAGTGAGTGGGAGGTACTGGGAAGAAGGGTCAGGATTTGATCAGTGAGGCTGACAGTGAATGGGAGACACTGGGAGGGAAGAGGAAGTTGACCGTTGGATGGTGCTAAACACACACTAATTGATTTTCCTATGTGAACATGGCACAGCTCTAGTTGCAAGATGGCAGCAAAAGGAGCCCCAAAAAACAAGCATGTCTTGTGTTTCACTGATTTCTCACAAGCATGGAAATAAGCTGAGGCCTAACAAACCTCACACAAATTGAGACTGGTGCCACATTGCTAACAGTGTCTCTAGGTTGTGCTTACATCCATGAGTGCAGCATTGATGTAGTTGCTCGATTCACCATCCACAGAGATAAGGAAAGGGAGGCACCGGTCCAAGGGCAGCACATCCATGCAGCGGTTCTTGTCATGGTTTCTTGGCAAGAGGCCGATGCTGCAGTCTTCTGGCCGAACATGTGGCGTCACAATGTTGAGAGTCTGTAATTGGAGGAGAGGTGCAAGCAAAGCTTCTTAGAGTTTATTTCCAAAACAGTTATCCTTAAATATCAAATGCAGATACTCAGCACACTGTGTAGCCTTTACTTTCTATTTTGAAAGAATCCACAAAGCTGAGATCCAGATGTAAAACTGCTATGGAGCTCTTTTGATGCAAAACTTTAGACTGAACCAATACAGAGCTAGGTTGGGATCATCTACTAAAGCTTGAACCTAAAGCCAAATTTCCCCAGTCTTGGGATGTATTTGAAATCAGGATATTAGTTTGGATCTACCTCTGACTTTGCAATTTCCAAACTCTTAGGTGACCACCATCTAGAACTGGGGACTTATTGTTTTTTAATTAATCAGTCTATTCTAAAACCTCTTCCACTGAACATCAACTTCAGATTTGGCCCCTCAAAAGTTTAGCCCTGATATGGGTATTTTCCTAACATCCTCTGCAGTGGAGACAGATGCAAAGAATTCTCTGCAATGGTCTCGTCTTCCTTGAGTACCCTTTTAATGCTTTTGGCCTCTATTGGCTCTGCTGCACAGTTGGCAAGCTTCCTGCTTTTGATCATCATCTTCCCAATTTGACTACAACTACTCAAGAGACAGATCTTGGGGTCACTGTGGATTGTTCTTTGAAAACATCCACTCAATGTGCATCAACAGTCAAAAAAATAAATAAATAGAATGTTAGGAATCATTTAAAAAGGGATAGAGAATAAGACAAATATCATATTGCCGCTACATAAAACTATGGTACACCCACATCTTGAATACTGCATACAGATGTGGTCGCCTCATCTCAGAAAAAGATATATTGGCATTGGAAAAGATTCAGAAAAGGGCAACAAAAATGATCAGGGATTTGGAACGGGTCCCATATGCAGAGAGATTAAAAAGACTGGGACTTTTCAGCTTAGAAAAGAGGAGACTAAGGGGGGATATGATAGAGGTCTATAACATCATGACTGGTATGGAAAAAGTGAATTAGGAAAAGTTATTTACTTATTCCCACAATATAAGAGCTGGAGGGCGGGGGGTGTCACCAAATGAAATTAATAGGTAGCATGTTTAAAACAAACAAAAGGAAATTTTTCTTCATACAGCGCTCAGTCAACCTGTGTAACACCTTGCCAGAGAATGTGGTGAAGACTAGAACTTTGTCAGGGTTCAAAAAAGTACTAGATTAATTCATGGAGGATAAGTCCATCAATGGCTATTAGCCAGGATAGGTAGGAATAGTGTCCCTAGCCCCTGTTTGTCAGAGGCTGGAAATGGGTGGCAGGAGAGAGATCACATGATGATTACCAGTTCTGTTCACTCCCTCTGGGGCACCTGGCATTGGCCACTGTTGGCAGACAGGCTACTGGGCTAGATAGACCTTTGGTCTGACCCAGGATGGCCATTCTTATGTTCTTATGCTCTTATGATGTGCATGAGATTGCCAAATTTCATGGGATTGTTTCTCCATTCTAGTTGGATGGCTGAAATTGCGTACAAAGGAGAATCACAAGCAAGAAGTAGTGCACTTTCTGGTGCAAAGCCATTTTTGCTAAAATGGAATACCTAGTGACTGCTCAGCAACTCAATGAATAAAGACCCCACAAATAATAGTGGAATGAACACATGGCTCTTACTCCCTTCAATATTTGTAAATCACATTTTCATTTTCAGCCAACTCTGGTTTGTGAGAAAGGTAAATCTTTGAGAAACTTTTTTTTGAGGGAAAAAAAGGAAGGATTTTAGCTTTCATTAATTCAGAAATTTTCCTTACTAGCCATTAACAGCAAAGTGTAGAGCTCTCTACCTGCAGAAAATCTCCTCTGCAATGTAGTGTTTCCACCAGCTCCAACCTATGCTAATAGTGCTCTGCTCTTTTAAGTGATGACTACTAAGGTACAAGATTGGAATTGGGTGGTTTGCTGCCTTCCCAGGTCTCAAACTTCTATACACAAAGGCTACATCTACATTGGCCCCTATTCCGTAATAGGGATGCTAATGTAGCACTTTGTAATAGGCAAATCCACGGGGGATTTAAATACCCCCCGCGGGATTTGCATTTTCATGGCTGCCGCTTTTTTCCGGCTTGTAGATAAGCCGGAGAAAAGCGCCAGTCTGGACGCGATCCTCCGGAAAATAAGCTCTTTTCCAGAGGATCTCTTATTCCTACTTGAAAGTACTTTGAAAGTAGGAATAAGAGATCCTCCGGAAAAGGGCTTTATTCCAGAGGATCGCACCAGTCTGGACGCTCTTTTCCGGCTTTTCCCCAAGCCGGAAAAAAAGCGGCGGCCCCGTTTATTTTAAA